TGCTCTTTGGTTTCGTCGGAAGTTCGCATCACTCGCCGATCGAGGTCTTGAAGAACTTTAAGGAGATTCAGAGGCTGAGGATCGAGCTTCTAGCTGGTGAGTTCGGGGTTGAAGATGGATCTCTTTTGAAATGGAAGGTTGGTTTCGAATATGCAATTAATAGTTGTGTTATACTTGGCGCTACATCTTTGTCGTCGTCGAAATCTCAGAGCTCCAGCCCTAATTCTACTAATTCATCGGAATTATGTGGTGTTGATGATAGCAGGACAGAGGATTTATACTCAATTTGTTGGTTCTTTTTCCCTTTTTAATTCAACTTCGGATCATTCTTTGTACTACAGATTGCTATGTTGTTAGATTAATTTGTTGGTTCTTTGAAGAAAATTAGGTTGTAGGTTTGGCGAGTTGTACTCTATTTAATGGGTTGAAATCATTTGGGGGATGATTTTGATATAATAATAGCTCAATTCTGTGTGACTTTTGGTGCCCATATGTAATATTTTAGTATGTTGTGTGACTTATGCTGCATTTAGTCACATTTTGGTATTTTGTATGACTTTTGTGGTTCTTACGTGACATTTTAGTATTCTGTGTGACTCTTAGGGCCCATATGTGACATTTTAGTATTCTGTGTGACTTTTGGGGCTGTTATGTGATATTTTTACATTCTCTGTGTTATATTCTTGTTACCAGTTATATATCCTGCTATTAAGTGTTATGTTATATTTCTACAGGTATGATTATGGCATACATGCGTATTTTTTTCATCAAGGCGATCCTAGAGGGAAGGGATATAATGAACGTTGAAGCCTTGCACATGGAGTCGCATATGCTACGAGTAGGAGACTAAACTCTACATGTAACTGTAACATTTGTTTAAACGCTATGATGTAAAGGATAACTAGTTTACTAGTTGTGTGTGACATTTGTTGGATTGTTGTGTGAGCTATATGTGAAGATATGTGACCATTAGTATGATGTGTAACGTTTGGGGCTTTTATGTGATGTTTTAGTATGGTGTGTGACTTTTTCTTCTTGTATGTGTCATTTTGGTATTCTGTGTGACTTTTGAGGCTGTTATGTGATGTTTTAGTATGCTTTGTGACTTTTGCTCCTTATATGTGACATTTTGGTGTTCTGTGTGACTTTTGAGGCTGTTATGTGATGTTTTAGTATGATTAACGTTTCCTAACAGAATTCAAACTCTTTTGTGACTGTTGTCTGTTACATGTTATATTTTCCCTTTTGTTGTGATATTTGCTACTTAAATGTGACATATTACCTATTCATGTGACTTGTTAGTATTAACAGTGATACCTGTAAGAACTTTACTTTTAGATTCCATTTAATATGCTAAAGAAAAAAGATCACCAAGAAATTACAAATGCATATTTTATCATTTACAAACAGCTAGTAAACATCCAACATCCAACAAATGAAATAGTTATGTGTTTGTCTAATACTTCCACTCAATCAATGGTACATACCAAAATGTCACATAATCGGAGCAAAAGTCACACATCATACTAAAACATCACATAACAGCCTCAAAAGTCACACAGAACACCAAAATATCACATATAAGGAGCAAAAGTCACACAACATACTAAAACATCACATAACAGCCTCAAAAGTCATACAGAACACCAAAATGTCACATATAAGGAGCAAAAGTCACACATCATACTAAAACATCACATAACAGCCTCAAAAGTCACACAGAATACCAAAATGTCAAATACAAGAAGAAAAAGTCACACACCATACTAAAACGTCACATAAAAGCCCCAAATGTTACACATCATACTAATGGTCACATATATTCACATATAGCTCACACAACAATCCAACAAATGTCACACACAACTAGTAAACTAGTTATCCTTTACATAATCCAACAAATGTCACACACAACTAGTAAACTAGTTATCCTTTACATCATAGCGTTTAAACAAATGTTACAGTTACATGTAACTAGTAAACTAGTTATCCTTTACATCATAGCGTTTAAACAAATGTTACAGTTACATGTAGAGTCTAATATTTCCACTCAATCATAGGTACATCACTACCCCCAAAGTATATAAAATATTCTGGATCATCACTGTCTAATTTCAACCGTAATTTTTTTTTCATTCACGGCCTTCACATATGAGTTAAGCAGCAAGTCCTACTCGTAGCATATGCGACTCCATGTGCAAGGCTTCAACGTTCATTATCTCCCTTCCCTCGAGGATCGCCTTGATGAAAAAATACGCATGTATGCCATAATCATACTTGTAGAAATATAACATAACACTTAATAGCAGGATATGTAACTGGTAACAAGAATATAATACAGAGAATGTAAAAACATCACATAACAGCCCTAAAAGTTACACAGAATACTAAAATGTCACATATGGGCCCCAAGAGTCACACGGAATACTAAAATGTCACGTAACAACCACAAAAGTCACATAAAATACCAAAATGTGACTAAATGCAGCATAAGTCACACAACATACTAAAATATCACATATGGGCACCAAAAGTCACACAGAATTGAGCTATTATTATATCAAAATCATCCTCTAAATGATTTTAACCCATCAAATAGAGTAATTTGGGAAGATACACAGGTACGACGAGCCACGAAGCCCTGCTTAAATTAGGAAGGGCTTTTATGAAAATTTACATGGACTAGTTCATTAATTAAGGATCGACTCTTTAATTACTTGCTGCAGAAACGTCCGCTGATGTTTTTGGGATGAACCTCCATCTTCCCCCGGAAAAAGACGAAAATGTCCCTCCTCGCCGTCTCCGGAGGCGGAGATCGGAGAATCCCCGGCGGTATGTACGGCGGTATCAGCACGTGCTCCGCTTCCTGGCACACGTGCGGCGAGGTCACCCCGAACGTCTGCAGCAGAATCGATCGCCGCAAAAACTCAGGAATTCCGTCGGCGATAGCCACGTCCTCCTGCATTCAAAAACAAAACAAAACCAAAAAAAATCCAAACTTCACAAACTCTCGCTCTAAAAATTTCAAAATTTTCATGTAAAATCATAAAAGCACCGCACACCATTGCATGAAAGCAAGCGCCGTAATCATGGGAGGCCACAAACATGTGGTCTCGGCCGTTGGTCCGGTTCCAAAACGGATACTTGGTTTTGATTTCAGCAATCGAAGAGGCGATTAAAGGGCGAGCGTGGGCCAAAGAAGGGAACCCGTTAACGGTAGAGAAGTTGCAGGAGACGTAAACGGGAACAAAGAAGAAATCAGCTTCGTCTGGGCTCGTCGTCCTGAACCCGGAAGTAAGCAGGGCTTCGTGGATCGCCACCTCAGCGACGGAGGAGGGGAGGGGAGGGGAGGGGGGTTCAGGGAGGAGGGGAAGGGGGCGGACGGAGCCGATGAGGGGGTCGAGGAGGAGGGGGAAGGGGGAGGAGGAGAGGATGCGACGGAGGAGGGAGGAGGAGGGGAAGAGGGGGGAAGGGGAGGAGCAGAGGATGCGATGGAGGAGGGGAGGGGAGGGGAGGAGGCGGACTGAGCCGAGGAGGGCGTCGTGGAGGAGGAGGGTGCGAATGAGGAGGGAGGAGGAGGGGAGGGGAGGAAATGGATTGAGTTTTAATTGGGAAGAAGAAGGGTAATTTGGGAAGTTGTTTTCTTGGGCAGTGGGTTTGGGGGTTGGTTGCATATATTTTTTAATTTTAGGGCTTATGGGTTATGGTTGTTGGGCTGGGGGTGGGGATGATTGGCCTAACTTATTTTGCTTCCTCCAAGCAATTTTCCCTAAAATAAATCTAATCTATAAGCATGAAATAAATCTAAGGCAAGAGGGTTCTAGCCTCTTGGCTATTTAATAAGAAAATAAAATCTAATTATAAGTATAGAAATAAATCTAAACTAATAAGCAATAAAAAGAAATAAAAGAGAAAAAGAAAAGAAACACAAACCTCTAAATAATTCTTCATCTCCATCTTCATCATCCAATAAAGAGAAGAAATATTTAAAGTGGTGAAAAAAATTGTTATTATTAATTGTAATAAAAAGTTACAAATTTGGAAGGCCTTCTCAATTAAGAGTAGCCCTCCTCTCCAAAAGGAGTTATAAAAATTTTCACACCTCTAACCCCTCACTCTCTACCCCTATTTATAGTAAACATCAGTGAATGAGAGCCATTGGATTGAAATCTTATCCAAAAACATCAAAAATCAGTCTTAGATTCGTAACTAACTGCCCAGGGTATCGATGCGGGCATCGATGCGGGCATCGATGCGGGCATCGATGTCTGTCCTTCTCCTATGTGCTATCCGCAGATCCTCTTGTATTTGGCTTTTGGGTTTGTGTCTTTGGCTTTAGCTTGGACTTTTGGGCTTTGACATTTGGGCTTTGGCATTTTCTCTTGATTTTTCCACTGGGCTTTGATTTATTTCTTCATTAAATATTTGAAAGAATTCATTTGGCTTCATGGTCTTCATTTCTTCATTAAATCAAGGGCTTTTTGTTAAGAGATTGGAGTTTGAGATTTATTCTTCATTAACCTGTAATTAAAGATAAGAACAATTATTAGTAGCATATTTATTCATATAAAATAGATAATGAGGGTATAAAATTGTAATAAAATATGATTATCATAGGTATTTTCATCAGTCGACTGATCAGACGACTAATAACGAGTTTTAAGCACGATTTAAACAGAAAAAGTAAACTTTGAAGTGCCTTTAAAAATAGCAAATAAATTCCAAAAAAATGTAAAACTTTAGAAAATGATTGTAAAATTATAAATGAACTTGTTTCAAAAAAAAACTTGGAATTTCACTTCACATTTATAAAATATCATCATTTTACAAAATAGTCCAAAACATGAAAATACAACAATACTTGTTTTTTGTCATTTTGACTAAACAATGTTTTGAAACTTTATAAAATGATTTTATAGACTTAAAGAAATATGTATATAGTGATTGTTAAGTCTCAAAACTAAGAATACAATATTTTCACAAAATTTATTTTTATATAAACTTGAAAATCAAAAACCAAAACTTGTGTGTGTGTGTGTGTGTGTATAAACCAAATACGTGTGTGTGTGTATATGAGCTTAAAGTATCTAACACACATAATATAAACCTAAAACTAAATTACCCAAGTAATCTTGATTTTCGATGTAGCTCAACTTGGTACACTTTGCGGATGAAGCTTGAACTTGGATCTTCAACTTGAATTGCATAGGCTTCAACCACTATTCCGCCAACCTCTATTGGATATGATTGTTGAAGCGCTATTCCATCCAACCTCCAACGTATTATTTGTCTACAATAAATAGGAAAACACAAACACTAGACAAACAATATTAGTAGTAAATTGTTTGTTAAAATATCATCAAAATAAAAAGACACAACACAAAATACAATACTTTCATATGTGGGTTCCCCTAAATATTTTTCTTAAATTCTAATTATAGCCTTCATGTAAATGGGGCCCCCTCAAAAAATAAAGAAAAATGGAGAGAGAGAGAGAGAGAGAGAGAGAGAGAGAGAGAGAGAGGGGATTTTCCCTGTTTCCTCCTCTCCCAATGCGGGAGAGGAAGAGACAAACCGCGCGGAAAACCCGCGGAGCCACTCTCTCTCTCCTCCAATGTCCCCCCCCCCCTTCTTCATCTTCCTTTCTCTTACTCCATTATTAGATTCTTACACTCTCTCTTATAACTGATAATCATATTTTATTACAATTTTATACCCTCATTATCTATTTTATATGAATAAATATATCACTAATAATTATTTTTATCTTTTAATTGCAGGTTAATGAAGAATAAATCTCAAACTCTCATCTCTCAACAAAAACCCATTGATTAAATGAAGAAATGAAGCAAAGAAGCACATTAGAAAATCAATTTCCAAATTATCCAAAAGCCCAGAATGAAGTCGTGTAGCCTGTAGAAGCTGGAGAAAATCAAAAATCCAATATGAAAAGAAATCATATTCAAAATGGTTGGCCACAAAGAAACGACGATATCTCCTAATCCGGAAGGCGGAATTTAACATATAATCTATGAAAATCTCCTATCTCGACGAGACGAAGCTATCCGTGAAATCGGAATTTGGAAATAGTGGGCATCGATGTCGGCATCGATGTCGGCATCGATGCTGGCATCGATACCTGCATCGATGCCTGCATCGATACCAGATTACTGTAGTGCGCGTCAATGACTGATTTTGCTTGTCTTGGGGCTCAAGTTTGATCCAATGGCTCTCATTCACTGATGTTTACTATAAATAAGGGGTAGAGAGTGAGGGGTAGAGAGTGAGGGGTTAGAGGTGTGAAAATTTTTGTAACTCCTTTTGGAGAGGAGGACTACTCTTAATTGAGAAGGCCTTCCAAAATTATAACTTTTGTTGCAATTAATAATAATAATTTTTTCACCACTTTAAATTTTTCTCTTCTTCTCTTTGTTGGATGATGAAGATGAAGATGAAGATGGAGAATTATTTGAAGGTTTGCATTTCTTTCTTTTTCTCTTTTATTGCTTATTAGTTTAGATTTATTTCTATGCTTGTAGTTAGATTTTATTTTCTTGTTAAATAGCCAAGAGGCTAGAACCCTCTTGCCTTAGATTTATTTCATGCTTATAGAGTAGATTTATTTTCTTGCATTTAATTCTTGCAATTTTATTTTGTAGTTTAGATTTTGCACTTTATTTTGTAGTTAGATTTTAATTTCTTATACTATTCACCTTGAGGCTAGAACCCTCTTGGGTTTAGTTTTTCTTTTTGTTTATTTTTATTTTGTTTGATTCGCCTTTAGGCTAGAACCCTCTAGGGAATCACCATTTTCTAAGAAGTGGGTTCAATTGTAGATTACCAATATCTATAATTGAATCCACCATCTTTAATTTCTTGCATTTTCTTTTATTCTAGAATTTTGTTCTTCATTCTTGATTTTTTTTTTATTTGTTTCTTGATTTTATTCGTTTTTTCCTTCTCACCTTATTGATCATACTCATTCTTTTTCAAATTTACTCTCACTTACACTTTGCACCTATTCACACATCATTTTCACTCTCTCAATCTCTTCACAATCATATTCACTCATCAATCTTATTTGTCACGCACACAACATAAGAACCGATTTTATATTTTCTCCTACAAAACACCTTACTCGTGGAATTGATATCTTAAATACTATAACTTGACACGGTTGTGCACTTGCAACCTTTTTGGTACATGTTTATGCACCATCAAGTTTTTGGCGCCGTTGCCGGGGAAGGTGCTTAAGTAGGTTTTAATTATTTTGGTTCTTTAACTTGTGTGTTTTTTTGTGAAGGAAACGCTTGGAGCTTGAAGATCGCGGATTGGAGAGCTAGGATTTGAAGATTTGCTTTCGGGTAAGTCCTCTTTGCTTTCGGGTAAGTCATCTTTCTAGTTTTTAATTCCACCCTTTAGCTACTTTTTCACAATTAGAGACAATTAGAATTTAAAAAAAAAAGATTTTATTTCCCGTTGACCATAATAAAATTCATCCTCCACTTTGACATTTACTAACAAGATAATAAATTCAAACAAATTCCCCCTTATCATTTGTTTGATTGTTAACCCTAATTAAAAAAAAGAGATTTTTCTTTTCCATCCTTTTTAGTTGCTTTTAATTCATAGGGTTGCATTTCATATAGTGTAGGAATTCACCAAGTGATTTGAGCATCTTGATTTGACACACACTTAAAAATATTTTTAAGGGCAAAACCCCATAATCAAGATAAGGTGAGGGATTTCATCACCCTTTCCTTAGCCCAAAAATCACTAATTCCTCACTACACCACCCAAGCCTAATAAAACTCATTAGACGTTGGCCCCTAAGGATTCGAGCTCAATAAGGAACAAGAAATCCTTAAGTGAACCGGTTTAAGTTTTCTCAGATTAGTTGGTGTCTAAGGCAAGGTTTAGGGGTTGCGTAAAGCGCTCCGCAAGGAAAGAGGTACTTAATTGATCTTTGATCACCCTCTAGTACTATCCTTACCTGGCTAACTACCTGGGTAAAACTTTGATCTTTTCACTATAGGAGTTTTTGGTTAGGAGCTGGTCTAGTTGAGTTAGGCTAAACCCTAGAATTCGAGTTGATTGAAAAGTGATTGTTTTGATTTGTTTTAGTTAGGATTTTTCTTTATCTTCTCATAAAAGAAAAAAAACTAATTTTCTTTCTTTTCTTTAAGAAAAAAAATAAAAAAATAAAAAAAATATTTTGGTGAATGCAACAGTGGATTAGGGATAATACACATCGATTAATTCGCTTTGAACCAATCATAGAAATGGAGCAT